CAGGGGTGCTCCATCCTGTTCCTGGAGATCTACCTTCCTGCAGATTTCAGTTGCTACCCATATCAAACACACCTGCCTGTAATTATCACGTGGTGTTCAGGTCCTAATTAATTGGTTCAGGTGTGTTTGATATGGGTAGCAACTGAAATCTGCAGGAAGGTAGATCTCCAGGAACAGGATTGAGCACCCCTGGTCTAAATGGACAGTGATTTAACTTAAGACAAATCGTACAAAAGTAGCAAACACATTGATTTAACCTTTCAATAATCTGTATTTATGGCATGTATAACTCAAGGGTCAGAAAGTTCTCAAACATTATCCTAAAATATGTAATTTTTTTATGGGTTTTTAAAGGTAAAAGTAGGTGTTTGCTGTGCGTGTGTTGTTAATTGCTGAGCTCCTCTATTAAAAAAAAAAAAAAAAAACAACGTTCAAGATCAAGCCTTAGCCAGGTAATAAAAAAGTAACGCAAAAGTAACTCAAAAATAACGTAACACATCACATGTCACCAAGTAAAGCCACTAGTTACTTTTATGGGAGCAACTCAATACTGTAATGCATTACTTTCAAAAGTTTCCAGTGTTGGGTTGCGGCTGAAAATACATTCGCTGTGTAAAACAGATGCTGGATATATTGCCGGTTCTTTTCGCTGTGGTGAAGCATGATTAATAAAGGGACTAAGCCGAAAAGAAAATGAACAAATGAATGAATTACTTTCAAAAGTAACATCTAAAAAAAACGTTATTTTAATTTCATAGGAACTTTTGAATGTTGTTATATTCATTAATATTTCATTATCTGCAAATAAATAAACTAAATATACTACAAGTGCACATTAAGAAGTGCATTTACAACTGTTTCATGCAGGATATGGTTTCTGAACAATGCTTAGGATCATTTGTAGGTAGATAGCATATTAATAGTAAAAGTGATGCTCACAACAACCTTCATGTGTAGGTCTGATCTTTCACTACAAAGCTAGAAGCAGCAGTAATCATTATCTCTGGTCTGACTCATAAAGTGGACTAGCGATCCCGTCATACTGTTTCCAGCAGATCATTAAGGGTCTGTAAGTGGTCCAGGAACTAATGAGGAAAGTGCAGTGACTACAGAGGCCACATCAGCGTCAGACAGACTCGCACATATTGAGCTTAGACAGATGATGATAATCATTTTGACTGCTTGATTTTCCTACACAAGGCAAAGATGGAGCGAGTTCTGTCTGGGCTATTTTCTGAGTGCTGCTACATATGCATCTGGTAGATTTCTTGAATGTTGCTGTTTATTTTTTATTTTTGAAACATGATTGCTGTGTCCTAGAACTGCACGATTCTGGCTAAAATGAGAATTGCGATTTTTTTTTTTTTTTTTTTTTTTTTTTTTTTTTTTTTTTTTTTTTTTTTTGGCTTAAAATAAAGATCACGATTTTCTCACGATTCTGTATATGTAAAATAAATGTATGGTAAAAACAAACTAATGGCACAACATCGATAATAATATTATGTGTAGGTCTACTGGTTTTTATAAATAGTTCTATTCTACTTATAATAATTATGATGTTGAATTATTATGTTTGAGATATATGCATGCAATCTGTCATATTAGACAAATTATTTCACTGGTAAAATCAGACATTTGCCATTATGAGATTATATTCAACAATATATAGGCTAGAGTAGTTATACGGACATTGTAAACATTTATTTTCATGCACAACTGTGGGTTCACTATGAAAGAAAAAACGTTTCAAATGCTTGCCGTAATCACAATGCGATATGATCATTTAAATGAAGTGCACACTTTTGGTTTCATTTTGACTGCTAAGCGCTTGTTCATACTTCGCGCGCGGCTCCTAAACGATCACTCTGTGCTACAAACAGAATATTCTTTATAACTGTATTACCTGTTCCTCGCAACATATGCAGGTTCTGTTCACTAAAGTAGACGGGCGCGCGTCTATCATTTAGTAGACATCATTATCATTATCATTATCAACATCATTATATGAAGACAAAAATGACATTTTTAGGTGAATTATACCTTACAAGTACATTATGTGACTCATTCGACATCATTCGGAGGTGTCAATGTCTCTGAGCATCGTGTGTTAAACAACGAAAAGACTCGTGCAGCCGCATTTTCTTCTCTCCTGAACTTGAAAATATGATTGACAGAATTGTAGAAATCCTGGATTAAGATCGTTTAGGGGGTCGAATCGAGATTGTGATCTTTTAACGAATAATTGTGCAGCTCTACTGTGTCCTAGGATTTTAGTACATTCAATTATGCTCAGTTTTTCGCAATTCTAAAATACACTACCTTACATTCCTCCCATACTTAAAGTAAACATATTTACAGTTGCTGTCACAACCAATTAAACAACACACCTATTGGTAACAAATATAACCTTTACACAATTACTATATAAAAATAATGGCCCCAAGGAATAACGTTATGGTAATTTATATTTATTTATTAGTTTTTTTGTGTGTTGAAGCGCTTTGTTGTCAGCAAGAATGGGATCATTTAGGACACAAGGTTTATTCTTGCCAATTTGACTGGGAAATCGTATTAAGGGCTGATGTATTAAAGACATTTGTGTAGCATAGCATCTCATTTGA